CCCCCAGAACAAAAGGCTGCAGGGTGCGCACTGGAGTTGCAGACCCGGTTCTTTTGTTTAACTTTTAAGCATGGATTTTCCTTTTCAGCTAAAAAAAAAAAAAAAAAAAAAAAAAAAAAAAAAAAAAAAAAAAAAAAAAAAAAAAAAGTGAGCTGAAGCCAGTCATGATTTCATGATTTTTCATTCGGGGGGAAAAAAAATCAAGAATAAGAGATTTCAGAAATGGAATGCTTTATCTGAACGTCTCATTTTTCATTTTCAGACCATGAGCCTTTGATCTGCTTCTCAAACTTAGTTTATTTGCACATTTTTTTTTTTCTCCTTGGAAAAACTCACACGTACTGACTTTGGGTGTGGCTATTGTGGGAATTAATGGCTGGGTATTTGAAAAATCATTTTCTTTAGGTAGCCTTGCTGGGAAATAATATATTAAGAAGTGCCTTTTCATCTCCAGAATTTTCAGGATTCCATCCACTGTGGTGTCAGGAGAGGAATCATCACGCCCATTTCTAGAGGTTGGGGACCCAAGGAGGCAGGAAGGGTGAGGGACAGACTCAAGGTCATATCGCAAAGCAGTGACAGGAGGGCCCATACTGCAGTGTCACAGCTTGCCCGACTGGGTCAGATGGTAAGCACAGGCAGGTTATCGTCCGGGAAAGATTCAGCCGGCCGTTTTCAGACCTTGTCTTTGTACGGTCATCCACTTGTGGGCTGCGCTCCGTAAAGGGAGGAGGCTCTGCCTTCACCTTCCGACTACAATTATCTTCCTGCTTTGTTACCGGGCTGACCATCTCTTAGGTGTTCCGCTCCAGGGTTTTTTCAAGCCTGGAAGAAAATATGCAGCCAAGGAATTCTGTGATGTGTGTCCTAGCTTTACTTCGCTTTACGCTGGTAGGGTTTAGTGCTAAAATCCAGATTTGCCTTCAAAACATTTTAAAAAGAAATTAGTTTCAATTTAAGTATTAGTGAGAGAGGAAAAAACACAAATCATAGGCTAGCAGTTCGCTGAATTTTCACAAAGTGAGCACACCTGCGTTGTCCAGATAAGAAATAGCCCAGCAACCACCCCACCCACCCACCCCAATGCTCACTTTGCAATCACCATGCTTTTCTGATTTTTAATTCCCTAATTTGCTCAGGTTTTTGCATGGATCTCTAAAATGGTTGTATCGATCTCATTAAGAATCAACCAAGTGTGTGAGCGCAGCCATTTCCTCCAGGGTAGTAACAGATGTTGCTGATCCTCTGGAGAGCGCTCTCCTGGGTCCTGGGGTCTCCGATGCAGCTCACACTGGCCAGCCTTTCAAGGATAAGTGAAAATCCTGCTTCCCAGCTTTTCAGAGAGTCTGAGATGACTTAGCAACAGGGAGGCAGGCTCTGTTTCCTTGGCATGACACGCTGCAGCTTCAGCTGGCAGATCCCAGCTGGGCCTCCTCCAGAGGTCACTCCGATGCCACTGCTATTGTTGCTGGTGCCTGTGGGCTACATTATGTGAAGCAAGAAGGAGCTGCCCCAGGGGCCTCAGCTCTGATTGTGAGCTGCCTGCAGGCTGGGAAAACAGCTTCTCATCTGTTAGCCTTTCTTATTTCCTCTTCCTTTCCCATCCAAACCAAGGCACTGTGCAGTTGGAGACCCTAGAGACGGGCGTGTTTGCCATCTGATTGATTGCCCAGGGCACTCTGGAAAGGAAAAAAAAAAAAGTCTAGACCCCTGCAGAGGATGGTAGATAATGCAGTAAAGCAACCGAAACGCCCCAGGATGGATGCTAAGTATTTCTTGAGATCAAGAAAGAAAAATGGTCACTCTTACTTGCTCAGCTGTGTTTAGAAGAGCACAAAGTCAAAGTCAGGGTTGATCATTTCTTTTCCAGAGCTTCAAACAATAGTGCTTCCTTGCATTGGTCCAGCTACACTGATGTAATTATATAGGACTTGATTCCAAACCATAGTGGCCACCACCAACGGATTCGTTTGCCCCTCCCCGATTGGCCCCAATGTGGAGTTAGCCTGATGTCCTTATTTATAGCAAAATGCTGGCATTTGGGTGTATTTTAATATCTAGGCTCAATACAACAATACCTGGCAAACTGAATCTTAAAGCCTGGTGCAGTGAGTTTTCATTGTTTCATGCCATTCTTTTTAAAGAAACCAAACCATCTCATGAATACTCAGGGTCAGTTTGATGCTTTCAGTTACTTCTATAAGGCAGCTGTCCCTCTAGGTGACATTGGAAATAAACAAGATGTGCTCATGAGAAGATAGATAACTGCAATATCCACTGCCTTGCATCTTTAGATGTGAGTTGAGCTGGTTACATTGTAACAGCCGGATGCTGCTTTCCCCATTATGGTCTTTCCCAAATGGTAGGCCAGAAAATGAAGAACCTGGGAAAGGTTTGGGGTTTAATTTTCATTGTCTTCTAGCAAGGGAAAAAAAGTGAAAACCATATATGGTGGGAGTTAAAGAGATGCTAGAATGTGTTACATTTATTATATTCGTCTTCACACTTCCAAAGTCAGAAGGCAGATGGATTTTTTTTTTTTCCTGCGCTGCCTAATTGGTGTTACCCACCAAGGGCTCTGTGATCCAAGCTGAAACACAAGCCGGTCACTCCCCAAATGGAAGGTCGTTAAATGGATGCTTTACTGTTAATCTTCCCTGAGAGCTTACTTCTCAGAGTCAATTCCAACTTTCAGATTAAGAAATAAATTCTCCTAAGTCACGATTTGTTTGCTTCTCTTGTAAGATGTTATCTAAGACAGTGAGCTTTTCTCTGCCAGTGCTTTGAAATGATGTGCCTTAAGATGTCATTTGCATCACACAGGAATATGTGACAGTCCTTAGATTACGGACCTTGTAAAGAGGGAACCAAAGGTTGGGCCAAAGGAAAACTGGGAAATTTTCTCTAAAAAGCCGCTTAGCCTTTTTTTTTTTTTAGTTGTTTCTCTGGATTTTATGCTTCTATTTAAGGTTCAGATTTCCTTTTAGTGTTGTTTTCCAAACAGAATCATAGGATTACAGGCTGACCGTTCAGATAGTTACAAGAAATACTCAAAAGCCTGTTTCTCAAAGGGAACAATTAAATCGGACCCATTGAGGAAAACGGCGTGTGAAAGGCCCGAGCAATGGTCACATAGAACC